GTGAGTGTTCGCGCCCGCACGTGGCCGCTCTCCGCCCCCCAGGCTGCCCCCCTCGCGCCCCTGTCCGTCAGTCTCTGTCCCCATCCTTTCCTCTCCTCTCTGGAAGGTTTTGCTTCTTACGAACGCCACGGCCGTGTTCACTACTAAACTAAAGGAAACAAAGCAATAGGTTTGGGGGACGCTAAGCCCCCCACCCCCGTCACCCCGCTCTTCCCGAGTCCTCGCCCCTCGCCCCCCACCCAGCCTCCTGGCCTCTCCGCCGACGCGGCTGCTGCTTCTCCCTGGGGAGGACCCCTGCCCTCGCCCATTGAACTCTGCACCCTCCACAGGAGCCGCAGAGGCCCGAGGCACCCAGGGGGTCTCCGGACGCTGGAGACCCTGCGCCCCTGCCCAGCACCTCCTCCGTGGGCAGCTCCTCGGGTGGGGCCTGCGGGGTTCCCTGCGCGCAGCGGGCGCGAGTGTGGCCGAATCCACCTGGTGGCCCTGCGGGGCGGCCTCCGAGTCCCTGTTTCTTCTCCATTCATGTTTAATTTGCATCACAATTTGTTGAATCTCAGGTAAATGAGGTCTTTGCATTTAATGAGTTTTATCTTGACAGGCGTCGCCTCGCCCCCCAGGCCCTTTCCGTCCACATCACAAATGCATCAAGTCCACACGTGTTTCGGGCCAGGGTTGGCTTGGCATTGACCTTCATGACCTTACATAGCTTTAGAGAAGCCATAACGTTAGACTGCAATACTAACGACCTACGTCCCTCCCGGCAGAGACCACCGCGCCCCTCTGCGCCCCAGCGACGCGGCCCGCGGGGACGTCGCTGTCGGTCCTGCTCGCCCTGTGCCCTCTCGCTGACTTCTCCCGGGTCGTGTCTTATAAAAACTCCTGTTTTCACACCTTTCAAAGCCAGCTCTGAGCAGACAGGGCGTCCTCTCTTAGAACCTGCGCACCCCGTTCCCAGCGCATGGCGCCCGGGGCCGCGAGCTTAGCTTAGACCGTGGTGTCCTCTGTCCGTTTGTCCTGCGCCTGCGCCTCCTCCTGCATGTCGGGGCCCCTGCGTGTGTTCTCTCCGGATGGAATCACAGCCAATAAACACCAGTGATTTCATACCGTGTGGCCATTCCTTCCAGAGGTCCATTCCGCCAGCCGGGGGGAGGACTGGGCCTTCCCCCGTCCATGTTCTTTCCACGGGCAGCTGCAGGGCATCCCACCATTCTCACCCTGCTCCGTCCACTCAGACTCATTTTCCCCAGGCCGTCCAGCCATAGCAACCTCCATCTAAACCGCAGACCTGCGCCTTCAGGGACCCGACCCCAGGTTGGGTCTTCCACGGAACCTCAAAGCCTCTGCCCTCTGCTCTCCCTCCCACCTAGATCCCCGACCACGGGCCTGTGCCTCTCCTCAGCTCCACCGGCCCGGGGCCCCAGGTCACCCTGTGCTGCCCTTGCCTCTGCCCAACCAGGAATTCCTGCCCCCACAAGCATCCCCGTGGGACTGTCCCTCCTCCTGAGTCCCAGACCGGGATCCCTGAAGGGAAATGTCTGCCAACTTGGGTTAAGGCCAGAGGAGGTTCCTCACCCCAGCCCAGAGAACAGCCCCTCTGCCTGGTTGCTGGGGGTCCCGCCCACACTCAATCCGCTGGATGCTCAGCCCACCCCTAGCTGCTGCCACCACTTGCTTCCCCAGCACGTCCTTGTTTGACCTCCATGTTTGGAAGCTGTTAAAAGATGATTCCGGCCAGGTGCGGTGACTCTGGCCAGGTGCGGTGGCTCAGGACAGGCGCGGTGGCTCACGCCTGTAATCCCAGCACTTTGGGAGGCCAAGGTGGGCAGATCACGAGGTCAGGAGATCGAG